AAACCGCAAACTTTCGGTAAACTTTAAAAAAATGTAAAAATTTTTGTATAATCAAAACTTACGTAAGATATAAATAATTGCTATACATAGGCTATATATATATATAAATATATATATATATATGTATATGTATATATAAGTACAGGTTTGTACATATATATATATATATATATATAAAACATATAAAAGTTGCTATTCGTTGAATGTGAGCAATTTATATATATATTTGCATGATTCGTTGTCTCTCTATACTTAGACATTAAGTACTCTATATTCGCTTCGATATTTGCTTTACTTTTAAATATATTCGAACTCTGTTTGTATATATGTATAAATAGATACATATATATTACTTCTTTTTTTTGTTAAATAATATTAATAAATGTGTAAAAGCATTTTTATGTATTGACAAGAAATTTTGCCCGCTTTTTGTGAGCTAAAATTAGCATTTCGAAAAGATCTTGAGCTCGAATTTGGTCTGCAAATATATATGCGTATATAAGTATATATATATATATATGTATATAGAACACTAACGATCGAGTATTAGCTTTAACCAAATGGCGTTTCAGACATATATATATATATATATATATATATAATATTTCAATATTTCAATGTTTCCTAGTCACAAGGCACATTCTCGTTCGAGCTTAGTTATAGAGACGTAGACATAGATTTAGTTATAGGTATAGCCATAGATTGTTATCTATCATTATAAATTACAAATTGGGGGCGTGGCTATGACTTATAGAGCGTACTTTTCAGCTTTTTAATCAAAATATGTTTGGGGTCTCTATATATAAATATATAAAAAATATTTGCTGTAGCCAACATAAAATGCTTAACAAAAAGTAAACAAATAAAATATGAAGATACGAATGTGGATATGGATATGGATCTGGATGATGCATGAATGTGTGGGATGTTAGAGGCGTGGCTGGTTAACAGTTTAAGTAGCGATTGCCGTGTAGCCGTATAAAAAAAAAAAACAAACAAACGAAAAATATGGAATAATACTACATTAAGTGGAGCTTGTAAACTAGAATGCAGAAACAAGGGCAGCAGCAACGGCAACAGCAGCTGGAGCGGGAGCAGTAGATGTAACCCAAGTGGATCATCGTCATCATCGTCATCATCGTCATCATCATCATCAGGTGTGATGCCTCGAATTGCGCATGAGAGGCACCAAGAGAGACGGCGGTCCCGCTTGTCGCAGAAATGGATGAGCCAACAGCTCAGCGGCCGTTGCACGCTGTGCCGGATCCCGGACGAGCATTCGGTCCAAAAACGATTGCAGACGCGGCGACACCTTGTGGGCATTCTTCAGATTTGGCGGCTGCATATCCCGAATGCGACGCATCGCCTGCAATGGCGGCTCGTTGAAGAACGGCGGCTCGCCGTCCACCATTTCGATGACCATTATGCCCAGCGACCAGATATCCACGTCGGGGCCGTACGGCAGGCGCGAAATGACCTCCGGCGACATCCAGTAGGGTGTGCCCACCAAGGACTTCCGTTTGGGCAGCTCCTGCGACACTTGCGCACAGAAACCAAAGTCCGACAGCTTCACCCGCCCATCAGCGGCCAAGAGTATCGAATCGGATTTGATGTCCCGATGGATGACGCCCTATTTGAAGTGGAAATGGAAACCAAATTAGTATAGGGTCAGAATGGGTATGCATAACTAAGAGTTACCCTGGCAGTGAGTGGAGAATAGGAATGATTTGAATTTTAATTGGAGTCGAAATATTAAATGGTAACCTTTGATCCGTGAAAAGCAGCCCGACTACCTTCGCTTTTTAATTAACTGAGAAATACCCTGGAACCAGTAACTCCAAATAATAATAAACTATTCTTAAACTAACTCTACTTGTACTTGATCACTCACTCGTCCTATATACTTCCCTTATAGCATTGTCTAGCTTTATTGAAGTTCTATAAGAATATATCTATCTATGTTTATACTTCTCTCTTGCTGCTGTATTCCGTTCACTGTCTTTATATTTTGCTGTATCTTCCTAAAAATCTATTTATGTATCTCGTTCTGTAACTTTCGATGTGTTCCCTCTTCTCACTCTCTGTGTATAAGCAGATTTTACTCTCTCTTTCTCTCTGTATAAGCCGATTATTCTCTATCTTTCTCTCTGTAACCACCTCGTTTTTAATCTCTCTCTCTCTCTCTCTCTCTCCCTCTCTTTGTCTGTAACCGCATCTTTCTATCTCAGTATATGCATGTCTCTTTTGCTCTCTATTTCTAACTCTGCATCTCTCTTCCTCTCTCTCAATGGGTCTTCTGTCCTCTCTGATCCTCACTCTTACTCTCTGTCTCTCTTGATCTCTTTTCATTTATATCTTGGTATCGCCCACCTACCCTATCTCTCTCCTACCTTTTGTTACTTTAACTCACTTCCTTAATCTCTCCTCCTGATTTCCTTTATTTCTAAACTCGGATTCCTTGATAAGTAAAAATGTCAATTCCAATTGTTGAGCAATCGCTATTTCTAATAGATGCCCCATGAACAGAAAATATATATGTGATTGTACACTACTTACATATCTAAATATATATACCCATATATATTATATTTGTAAATACTTAAAGAACATTCTGGTTAAGCCTATTATTCACATTCAACTGAACTTCTATTTACAGCCAAAGGTTTGGGTCAGCGAAATTTATGGTCGTCGAAAGCACGTAACACCCAACCACTCAACCACCCAACGACCCAGCCGTCCCCAAGCGCCCACTTGACAGGCTATCGCATTACCTATGCGACGGGCGACATTTGGAAATGGAAACCAAACCACAAAACGTCGCAAAAGAAGAAAGCGCAAAAGAACGAAAATAGAAAGGCATTGAAAGAGTGCACAGAAAGCAAAGAAGAGAAGTGAAAAGGCATTGGGCGAGGCTTTTGGCTGACAACTCGTCTGCTGGAAATGCTGGTCACGCACCTGTGAATGCAAATAGGCCAAAGCTTTGAGGCATTGCTTGCAAACGGTCGCAATTTGCTCCTCATCCATGCGGGAATGTGTGACAATGTCGGTGAGTGCGCCGCCCTCCAGATACTCCATGACCACCCAGAGCTCGTCGTTGACCAGAAAGCTGGAGTATGTCTCCACAATATTGGGATGATGATAGTCACGCATGATGACCACCTCGTTGAAGAGCAGCTCGCGTCTCTGCTGCTTACGCAAATCCATTTTCTTAACAGCCACTTGACGACCTACCAAGGGATCAAGTGAGAACGAGAGAGACAGCGAGAGGGAGGAGTTAATATATAATGCTCAGCTATTGAAGGATTGGTCACTCACCTGTTGACTTGTCGGTGGCTATGCACACAGTGCCCGTGGAGCCTTCGCCTATTTTGTTGAAATTCTCCAGATTCTCGCGCGGATCACCGGCGGAGACAACCATTTGCAGGGCAGCGCGGAATTGCTCGTGCGTCAGCCTTTGCTCCTGCTTTGGTTGCGCCTGCGCTTGGGCCTGGGCAGCCAGGGCGGCGGCGGCAGCATTACCACTCGAGCTGGAGCTGGCACGCGATGCCGTTGCTGCTGCTGCTCCTGTTGCTGTTGTTGGCGCTGTCTTGTTGGCATGTGGATTCTGATTTGGTTGTTGCTGGGAGGCAGGATACATTGGATAGCTTTGACCATTGTTGTTAATATTATTATTGTTGTTGTGATGCGAGCTGGCCACAGAGCTGACTGGCGACGTTTGCTGCTGCTGCTGTTGCTGCTGCTGCAGCTGCTGAGGCATCCGGAACGGATCGGTGCGCACAGCCAAAGGAGCCGTTAGCCCACCATTGGAATGTGGATGCGGATGTGGATGCGAATGTGAATGTGAATGGATATGCTGACTGGTATATAAAAGATTATGTGGCATTGGTTGTTGCTGTGGCTGTTGTTGCAGATGCTGTTGCTTGAAGCCAGGCGTGGGCGTGCCGGATGGCAGCTCCTCCTCAGGCACAGCGGGCGGCACATTCGCCACTCGCCTCACACGCGGCGGACTGGAGCTGCGCAACGAATTGGAGCGGGCCACATGCGATGTCTTTGGCAGCAACTGTTGCTGCTGCTGCTGCTGCAACATTGCTGGATTGTTCATCATCAGGGCGCTGCTGCTGCTGCTATTGAGCGATGTTGTGTCTGCCTTATTGTTATTATGATGCGGACGCACAATTGTCTTCAGATCCAGTATTTCTGTGGGCGTTATCTCTGAGGGATCCACCAGCGGCAGCGGCCGATTGCTGGACTTCAAAATTTGATTGTTGCCCACTATGGAGGCCCATTGCAGTGGCAAGCCGACATATTTGTTCTCTCGCTTGTCGAAGCCCGTGTGCACGCGATGCTCGAAATTGCTGGGCATCGAGATCAGCGGTTTCTTCTTCTTCTTTGTGAACATTTTAGCTTGTTCCGTTATTATGGCGCCGTCAACTGCAATTGCCAGGGAGTTGTTAGTTCCCTCGTTCTCTCGTTTGTTGACTTTTCTTTTACCCGCCCTTTTGGCTGGGCCCGTCAATAGGCGACGACAAAGTCTTTGGCCACACTAACACATTCGCACGCACAACGCACACAAACAGACACTGACAAGCGCAACCAACACACACACTCGCACTCGGGCGCATACAAACATACAGCGACGGATGCGATTTATGTGGATTTCGTGTTTAGCGCTTTCAATCGACTTTCACATGCATCATTTGCATGGTTTCATTAAACGCTGGCCTTATTTATCAGTTAACATAAATACACATTACACCAAAAAACAAATAAAAAAACAAACAAACACAATTTGAAACCTAATAAAAATAAACTTAAAAACTTATTAATTGCCGATGCTAGCAGTTATCGTTGACTCTGTTGCTACGAGGGAGCTGCAAAACTATCGTTTAATGCTCGCGATACTATCGTTATCATGACCCAAATATGTGTATATTTTGTACGATAGTTAAATAGCACATTTAGTGCATTTCTTTTTACTGCATTTTACAGCACTGAGCAAACGTTTACAAGCGGTCACACCGAAACGCGTTTGCATTTACATTGACTTGATTTCGCGACAAATTAATTTTTAAATTCCATAAACGAAAATGTCGAAAGCACATCCACCAGAGCTGAAAAAGTGAGTATCTCTACCGCGTTGGCAAGTGGGCGTATGCATGTGCTAACTGCTCATTTGTTTCCTTATTATCAGATACATGGACAAGCGCATGATGCTTAAGCTAAATGGCGGCCGCGCTGTCACCGGCATTCTGCGCGGCTTCGATCCATTCATGAACGTTGTGCTCGACGATACGGTGGAGGAGTGCAAGGATAATACCAAAAACAGCATTGGAATGGTGGTAAGTATAGCACTAGACTAACCACATAATATTTGTTACAATGCGAACTTTATATTTTCAGGTAATTCGTGGTAACAGCATTGTTATGGTCGAGGCTCTGGATAGAGTCTGATACGAAATCTCTAAAGCAGCCTCATTCCCTCAGATGTATCCAATTGGGATAGTTTAGGATTTGCTGACTTTAATAGAGATTTATCTGCCAGATAAAGGTTAAATGTAAACTATTTAACAAACACAAACTAGTCGTAAGGCTCTATAATACATTCTTAAAATTTAAATAAATGTACTATAAAACAACAACATTATGTACATCTGGCAAACTGTATAAATTTCAATCAGCTTATATAGCTCATGTATATCACTTATAGTCTATATATGTACATATACATACATATGTATGTATGTATGTACTGAACAATATTTACACTATAAGAAATATAAATATTGGAGTTGATCCTCCCACGGGGGATTTTTAGCGCATGTTCTCTCAATACGATAATACACATATACATCATATTTATATGGGTGAGTGTATTAGTACTAAACAACTTCAGGCCGTTAATGATTACCTATCTAAAGTATACTCCATCTGAAGTATTGCCTATCTAAGGCATCTCATATTTACCATATACTTTTAAGTCATCATGGGATCGAGCGCGAGTTGATCCCGTATACATAGTCCTCCTGGGAGTTATATTGTAATTCTCATTTCATGAACAGTCTAAGCTAAATAACTAGTTCGACAATACAGAAGTAGAATGTATAGGACCGATTCTATGAACTATCATGCAATATTAGCCGATCTTCCGTCAGTCATACCAATTCGTCGGTTCACTCTTTTGAGGATAGGATAAAATACAACTTGGGTTTGGGATCAGTTTGCACAACTTCAGGCCTCTTCTTTAAATTAGCAAGAGACTTCACTGTATTCCCTGATTCGCAGCTAAGTTTGATATTTTTTACAAAATTGAACCATTCTGAAATTCATAGTGAAACCCAATGAAAAATGGCACTTGTTGACGTGCGCGTTTTATAGACTTCAGTGATTTATGTTTATATTATCGCCAGCATTTGCATATGCAAAGAAAACTCTTACAAGTCTAAAATATAAGATTTGTATTTTTATAGACTTCTCGTCGCGTTGTCCACATATAAAATTTTACTTGGAAATAACAATTGGGCCAGTTTGTTTGGCAGCGTCTCGCTGCTTGGCGACGATCTGATTGGCAATGCGATCCAGATCCCGCTGTCCAATCGAGCTCAATTTGCGGCCACCCTCGGGGTGCTTCTCAACAAGGCGGGCATGCTCGAGAGCCTGCAGTGCCTTGCGGGCAGCACCGTCAGCGGCACGGCAGAAATGAGATGGATGCACACCGTTGCGTTTGCGTCCGCCATAGATCTTTGTGATGGAGCCAACACCAGCTGGACTGCGATGATAGAGATGGCGCATTATGGAGGCACAACGCACATAGAACCAGTCGGGATCGTAGGGTGCCAGTTCCTTGAATTTGGCGGTCTTGATGATGTCCATCTGGTCGGGCACCTTCAATTTGCCAGTTCTAAAATATGCAAAAGTTAATAAATCATTGATATATACAAACAAAGATGCACATTTGTGAGGTTATGTCTACACACACATATATAAAGAGACAAAATATAGTGTTGTGTAGAGCTCACACGAGACTCACTTCTTAAGGAAAACAGCGACCGCCTTGGTAACGGCATGTTGATCAATATCCTTCACTGTGACACCTGGCATCTAGATGCGAAAAAACACAAAAACAAACATTGTATAAAAAAAATTTTGTTAAAAAACACGTTGCTATTCGCGAACAAGCACGCACACACACACACGTTCGCACGCACACATGCAAACAACGACAACAATATTGTGCAAATCTCAAATTGGATTGCTTTTTAAGTGTTTAATGAAGTTTTCGCCATTTCAAATTAATTCAAGTGCAACATTCACTCTGTCCCTTTAAGAGACACACATTTTCATTTATTGCTGAGCATTTGCAGCAATATTTTCAAAACTAAAAAAAAATATATTTGAGTAAACGAACGCGAGCACTACCTTGCTAGTCAAAGTCAACCGGAAAAAAGAACAAGACTCTCGAAGTTGGCTGCGCTTATTGTAGATGAAGAGGCTGCCACCTAATCGTGAGAACTTATCGGTGCTGTCAATGAAAGCACTGGAGTACTTATCGATGGGAAAAATATCGATTTTTGACATTATTGAAAATTATAACGTGCATTTATTCTTCCTTGCTCACTTTTTAATTCGATACCATGAAATTTGTTGTACGTATTGTTCTATTTATTTATTTATTAACTGCTGCATTTAATTTGATACAATACAAAAATAATATTAAACCTATTTATGATTTGGTAAAATCGTAATTCTTCCAAGCATCAGTAAATGATTTTACATTAATGTGTATGTTATGTCCTTTAGGCGGATTCCGCCAATGACGCATTTCCAGGTCCAGCATTCCGGCAATAATTTGCTAAATAGATAAAAAGAAATTATTGAAATACATCTATTAAATTTTTTTTTTTTAGAGTGAAGCCAACCTGTGCGTAATTCGGTGGGAAGCGCTCCTGATCCTCGATGACGTGAGCAAAGCCACGATCCATACCAAAATGTACCCAGAAATAGGGCAAGCCTTTTGGTATAGCTGCTCGCAAGGATTTTTTGCCCAAAGATATTAGTTGCTTATTAATGGACCATTCCTGTTCAGACTCCTCGATGGCCTTTTTGAAATAGAATGGAGCTATCTCACCCTTAGACTGCGGTATGGGTATACAATGGACAGACAAGTGTTGACGTCTATACAGCTTATTGGCTATCTCAAAGAATATCACATCCCTATTCTGGGCAGCAAACATTTGGGTTAAAGCCTTACGAAAGGTAGTTAACTCCTCCCAAACGTCCTCGTCAAGCAATGTGCAGGCAGAGACATGCTGCACGGAAGTTAAAATGCAGTGATCTGGCTGCAGCCCCACATGCGAGGGCAAAGTTAAATAGACCTTAGTGCCCACTGAGAGTAGCCTTTCTTTTGCTAACTTTTGGGAGTCAAAGCATCTTTCGCAATTGTCCAAGGTGGCGCTCATCTTTTGTTGTTCCTTTACAGCCCGATTCAGTTCGCGCTGCTCATTATTGCCTTCGGCCATGTCTTTGCGCACACGATCTTCGAAAATACCATCCAGATCATCGTTCAGTTTCTCATTCTTAGATAAAATATTGGCGTATTGTAAATTTGATTCAGCTGAAGTAGCATACTTCTCCCGTTCAAACTGAAAAAAGGAATACATCATATTAGATATATAGTTGCAAATTATATATATGTATATATATGATTAACCATTTGCTTGATATCGTAGCGATTTCCATCCGAAGTGGTTTCCGCCATCTTTTGCATTTTGTCAACCAATTTGCGATCAGCCTTGGCCTGTAGAAGTGGACGTACATTTCCGCTGGCATCGGCGCGGGTAAGCAAGATGTGTTCACTCTTTTGCTCGGTCCTTGTGGATTCGGAATGGTTCTTGCCACTAGCCAGATGTTCGGCTCGAGCTTTACGTGCCATCTCGAGCTGCTTTTTGAGATCTGCAACCAGTTTCACATCGCCCTTAATTTCAGCTTTGACCACCCGTGCGGCCAATGCATTGAATTGCGCATCTGTCAAAGGTATTGGTACATTGGTACGTTGCTGCATCTCGTTATCCGTGCACTCAAGTGACCGATCGCGAGATTCGTGGCCATTTGGATTAACCAAACCATCATCCAAGTTTCTTGTTGGTTTTTTCCAGTTGGATGAGCCAACATATTTTGATGCGGTGGACTGTGTTGGACGTTCGTCGTCGTCCTCAGCGGGCTTCTTAAAAGCTGGCAGACCAGTGCCGTTATTCTTCCAATATGGATTCAGCTCGTTTATGTTTTCGGCCGGATTATAGGCGTCGATTTGCTGCAGCTTTGCGTTAGGTTTTATTGCTTCCCTGCGTTCCTTGCTGAAGGTATTCAGCTTTAAATCGGTGCTGTCAGTCATCCAGCTATCGCGCTGCAATAAAGGCTTTGGCACAATAGGAAGTGGAGCAGTTGCTACTCCTTTATCAGCGGATTTGCGACTGCGCTTCGCTTTCTCCCTAGTCGAATCAGACTCCGAACTACTTGTGGAGCTGGAGCTATCGCTATCGCTATCGCTGTCACTGCTGCTGGAGTATTTTCGTTTCTTCTTGTGCTTCTTTTTAAGAGATTTTTTCGAATGCTTCGATTTTTTGGTCTTTTTTTTTAACTTCTTCGACTTCGATGTGGCCGACTTGGCTCTTCTGCTCATTTTTGGTTTTGCAGTTGGCACCACCCAATTAGTATCGCCACTCACATCATTTTTCTGCTTCTCTGCTTGCGACTCCTTGGCCTGTAGGTAGGATGTTTGTTACTTTCGTATATTGGATTTCGTTCACTGTGTTTACCTGTTGCCCTGGTGCAGTGCGAGATTCGTCACGCTCCATCTCAAATTTGGAATTAATAACGACTTTAGAATGCGCAGTTCATGTGAGACTTGACAATGATAATCCTCGCACAGGTAAACAAATTAAAGCACTCTTTAATGTTAATTTGGAACTTTGGAAACAGCTGTGCCAAGCATTAAATATATCGATACTACTTTTATTTGCATTTGAAAAGTACGTTAATTTATGTACACAAAATTGAATAAGTTTCATTACTAACATAAAAATGTATTCTGGAAAATCAAACTGTAATTAGTCTCTCCATGATTTTAGGGCTCGTTTTTGGTTGCAGCTTGCCTTATTTTTAAACAAATGGGACATTCTTTCTTAAGTAGAGGAAATCTATCGGTATCGCATATACCGCAATGGTTTGCATGCCTATCGATAGCGCGATATGCAAAACACTCAGCTGTTGCCTTTTTGTGTGGCTTGCATTTGTTAACAATTATTGTCGCCTGCTAAACAGAATACCATATCAATCATGCCGCTTTACGAAAGTGTAATGCAAGAGAAACCCCCAATCGTCCTAGACATTGGCAATGCGTATACCAAGTAAGTGCAACGATTGCAAAAATATATCCACTTTGTTCTGATGATGATATCATCCCAATTGTTTTGGCCATATTTGCAGGCTCGGCTTTGCAGCAGAGTCTCATCCACGTAAAATAATACCCACGGAAGTGGTCTTGACCACAACTGGGAAAACCAAGCTGCTCTTTGACTATGCAACAACGGAGGAGCTATACGACCAAATTGTTGACTTCCTGCAAACCATTTTCTTCAAGTACCAAGAGAGATTGAGCTGTGTATTGTAGAATGGGTTATTTAAGCTTTCATTAATTACAGGCACCTGCTGGTCAGTCCGAAGGAGCGTAAATTTGTGATTGTGGAGAACATTTTTGGCCAGACAATTATACGGGAGACCCTAGCCCGAGCACTCTTCATACACTTTGATGTCTCTTCGGTGCTTTTTGTGCCTGCCCATTTAATTTCTCTGTCCACGTTGGCTGTGCCGACGGGCCTGGTTGTGGACATTGGCTACAGTGAGACAACGATAATGCCTGTGTTTAGCGGCGTCCAAATTATGTCTGCATTCAAGGACCAGAGCTATGGCAGCAGAGCAGTGGAAGAGGAGATCAAACGGCAGCTGCTAGCAACGGGCGTCAAGGAACAATTGCTAACGCCCAGCGTCCTGGAGGATATTAAAGTGCGCACCTGCTTTGTGAATAGCTTTGAACGTGCCTACAAAGAGGACAGGCAATCGCCACCCGATGTGGAATATGGCATCTGTGATGATGATGCTGTCATTAGCATTCCCGGCAGCCTGCGTGAATCTGTTTACGAGCTGCTCTTCGAACAGAATAATGAACGGGATAGCTTGCCGCATTTGATATTGCGCGCCATACTCGATTGCAGCATGGATGTACGTCGCGCCCTGGTGGAGAGCATCTTTGTCATTGGAGGTGGGGCCATGGTGCCGGGTCTGCTGGCACGACTCAAGCAAGAGCTGCAGCACTTGCTGGCCAATGATGACTACTATGCGACACGTTTCCATGGCCAATTGCAGTTCAAGTTCTATCAAGCGATTGGCAAACAGAATTTCACAGCCTGGCTGGGCGGTTCCTTGTGCGGTGCCACAGATCTCATCCAAACGCGGTCGCTAACCAAGGACTCGTACCTAAAGAACGAGCATGTGCCCGACTGGAGTAATCTGTGCGACAATCGGCATGGTGGCTAAGGATTAAAGGAACTCTCTCTATATATACATATATGCTATATAAACAATCTATGCATACGCGTATTTTTATTACAAATTGTATCATATATATATATATACGATCCTCGGTCTCAGTATGTATATATATATCTATATTTGAATTGTATTATGTTATATTGTAAGCTAAAAGTGAACTTTTGTTTTGAGTAGGAAAATGACATACGAGTATAAAAATGTTTCTTTTGCGCTTAAAGCTACAAAGATGTTTCTTATGGGATTATTGTGCATTGAGAAACTCGATATTTAAATATATATATATAATTATTCAATATCTGTATGTATAAAGAATTTTTATTTTATTTTTTTTTTTTTATTAACTTGGCTAATTATGCAAAAAGGCTTTTTGGATATATTTTTTTTTTTTTTAAATTAGGAAATGCGTTTCGTTTATGATTAGAATATATTTCTTGTTTATATTTTAACATTTTAAGCAGCATGTGCTAATTTTTGATAGTGTTATTTAAACCCGTTTTTCATTGAATTTATTTCGGAGTGAAGCCCATTAGTATAACTAGGATCCTCGACTATTAAATGTTTTTCTGTACTTTACGGCACTTTGTGTTCTTTTTTTTTTTGTTACTATTTTTTTTTTTTTTATTATAGTTTTTCGTTTTTTATTCGCTTTTAAAAATATAATTTCAGTTTTTGAATATTGTAAAATATATCCCAATATAAATGTGTGTAGGTGTGTGGGGCATGGGGGTGTTTGTGTGTAAGTGTGTTGTGTGTGTGTACAAGATGATATTACACATTAATAACTCCTGTTTGATTAGCCTAAAACCCTAAGCGTAATTTCAATAATTTTATTTTCTTCAAATATGTATACAATATTTATTAAGGGTATTCTACTTTTCTTATTCTTCTTCATCATCATCTAATTCGAATATACAATTTGAAAAATGTTATATATTTATAAATATATATATATAATTGTAAATAATTTATATAAAAATGTGGGCGCTCAACTATTGATTTACTGCAAGGCCAATTTACTGTTCGAGCATTACTTGGTGTTTCTTATTGTTGTTGTTGTTGTGGTTCTTAACTATTATGTGTATATTTCTATTTCTATTTCTATTTCTTTTCTTTTCATTTTCGTTTGTGCAAAATAACAAATTTTGGGGAACAATAAATAACAAAAAGCTACTGCCAAAACAAGTGGGAAAAATAACTGGAAAATGTAAAAGTTAAAAAAGGTGCTAAGGGAGCTTAAACATTAAAAGTGTTATACAATAAATAATAGCAAAAAAATGTTTACAATTTTGTGTTTTTTTTTTTTCCTTTTTTTTATATGTGTAGCAAGTAGTTGCAGCAAAACTTGTGGCAATTGTGGCAGTTGGAGAGATGAGAATAAAGCAAGGAGCGGAACAGCTAGAGATGAGGCTTAGAAATGGAGCTAGCTAAAGTTGAAACTTAAAGCAAGGCTTTCGGGTTCGGTATTGCACTCGCTCGCAGCAGTTGATGACTGCAACAGACTGTAGCCATGTTCACGTGGGAATCGTGTGAAAGCCATAGCTATAGCTATGTTTAAAACTAGGATTTGGATGGCAATGATAATGAGGGTGTGTATGCGTGAGTGTGTATGTGTGAGTGTGTGTGTGTGTGTGTGTGTAAGGGGGGTAGCTTCCGTTCCAGGCAATATTGGCTTGGGTATTGCTTCTACTCCTCCAGTTGTTGTTGCTTTCTGCTGCTGCTACTGCTGCAGCTAATGCTGCCTAACTAGTTTACAATTAATTTACTTTCAGTCGTCGCCGCGGCGGGACGGCATGGGCAACATCGATTATCGATTATCGATCCGTCGATCATTATTATCGGCATCGGCATCGAGTCGTCGTCGTCGTCGTCGCCGCCTGTCACTTTTCGGTGTGGAACAGCTTGCTCAGATTGGCATTCTGATTGCTGTCCATGATGTCGACGCTGGTTGAGTTGATTTGCTTTTGATTTGACTGCATCGGTGGCAAGTTGGCGATTTGCACCTCGTGCCGGAACAATTGATTGACGCTGCGTCCCACTAGCTGGGCGGTCAGCTTCTTGAATATGTCCTTTTTGGCGCGATCCACCTTGTTGCCCTTGACGGGAGCCACCGCGACCTTTTCATCGAACTTTTGCACATCCGCCGCATTGACGCTTGGAATGTGCTGCAAAACTTCGCTGAGCACTGGGAATTTCGGACGCAGCAGTTCATAGAACTGAACGCCGAGTGTTATCAATCCGGATTGATTCGCCTCATGCTGGCCATGCACCTGCATGCCCTGCAGCACCGCTGTAAAGGCACTCACGGCCTTATTCTCATCCATCAGCTGCTCGGCGGCGAGAAAGCGCATGACGGGCGCCGCTATATTCACAGCCTTCATGCTGCACATGCCATCGTTCCAGGCGATCGCCTTCAGCAGTGTCATCAGGATGTAGTTGCCGATCATGCCATTGCGCAGCAGCTGGCCACCCAGATCGCTGATGGTGTCCGAGAGCAGGGCGGATTGCGAGGCACGCGACTGTGGTACACTGTCCATGGAGTGCTCCTCGTTCTCCATTGCCACCACGTTGGCACCACCAGCCGCATTCACATGATCCGCACCGATTTGACCGCCCACCAAGGCGATCTTTAGCACATCGAGATATTCGCGTGTGAGTGTCCGATTCAGCTGATCCTCGAGCACCTCCTGTGTGTCGTTCACCTCGCCATTCAGCTGCCCCGACTCGTACAGTGACGAGATGTAGATCCAGCGACGTGTCAGCCGCTCGCACATGAGCGGAGTCAGATGAGCGAAGAGCGGCACCAGCACCGACTCATAGAAGCTGGGCGGGCACGAGTAGACGAATGGCTTAAAGAATACTCGGATTATGGGTCGCATACGATAATCGGGTATGATGTCCAAGCAGCTGAACACATTGCTGATTATGGCATCGGACAAACCCACCAGCTGGTAGAGATCACGTCCGAGAGACGGACCCGCCGAACCCATCAAATGATAGCAGCCCTCGCTGACCACAGTCATGAAGGTTTGCATCTTCTCGAAGGCGGTTGGTTCCGATTTGATGGTCGGGTCCAGGGGATCAGCGGGTATGGCGCATATGCCCATCAGCAGCTTCTTCTCATGCTCCAGCATGCCGTGAATATTGCGATAGCCCTCGGAGAGAGCAGCCAATGCCTCCGGCCGGAAGAGCTCATTCAGAACACGCATCAGGCTAAGCACGTGCGAGAGCAGCGGCACCACATGCTTCGTTGCCGGATTCCTGCAGATGGGATTGCCCAGATCTGTGCAGCCAATGACAAAGCCACCGCGCTGGGCGCGATCCGGATCATCGGGCCAGGTGCACCGTTTAACGACACCCAGGACCACATGCAGAGCATCCAGAATCCGCGAACGTTGCACAACGGAGGGATCACGGTCAATATCGTAGACGGGCGGCTTGTCCAATCCAACGAAACGCATGAACTCCAGCGGGGATTTGAATACATCGCCAAAGCTGAGCCACTCCGAGCGCTTCTGCTGGATGATGTGCTCGATGAAGAGCGTCTGACGCTCAAAGTCACAGAAATGATTCGAGATTAGGATGAGCGCCTCCTGCAGCGTGGTGCGCATCATTCGGCACAGATGAGGCGACGACGGCTCCTTAAGCAGGCACTCCACGTGATTGTTGATCTGCTCGAAAACGGGCAGCAAGAGCAGTGGATACTTGTGTGCCAGTTTGACCAGCAACGAGGCAGCATGTCGACGCAAATTCTTAGCGGACTTCTGTTGCACCTTCTCTAGCTCATTGGGTGGCTTCAGAACCAATGCGCGGAAGATCTTGTCCAGGACACGGGGCAGGAGCGTCACACCACTCATGGCCACACAATTGTTGGGCGTCAGTTGGCACGAGGACATGCTGAGGAACACAAACAGCGCTGATATGCAAGATAATAAAATGGAATAGATTAATGGATTTGATGTTTCCAGCTTGAGGCACTCCTCCAGCAAACGAAGGCCGCCCGCGACAGCTGGCCGCTCGGACACCATCAAAATGCGACTAAGTACACCATCCAGGACACAGACCAACGCATCCCACTCCAAGTAAATGGGATCGAGTACACTGCAACTCATGTTCGACATTTCCTGTTCCGTGTGAGCGTTGCGCAGTCGCATCTGCAGCCACTGCTCGCAATAGCCGTACGTTATCAATGGCTGCACCAGCGTTGCCTGCCGAAAGATCTCGAGGAAGTCGGTGCGACAGCGAAAGAAGTATATGGCAAATTCCTCCTCGCTGTCGTACTCCATGCGTATGTAGGCCTCAGTGCTGTTGGGCAGCAGGACTTGGGTGACTCCATCCGATTGTTGGCTTGGATACGATATCTTGACAATGCGCGGCGCAATGGTTTGTATTAGCTTGGGAATGTAGTTGACCATCAGGTAGTCCTTGGAGCAGCCGTCGTGCTTCAGCAGCAGCTGCCAAATCAGGGTGGCTCCATGTGCCACAGTCAGCGATGGATGCTGGGCGAGCAGTAGCAGACATTCAAACATTACATTCAATTGTGCCGGTCGCTGGGTGCCCTCGTCCTTGCCCCACAGCGCAACCAATTGTTGCACCATGCCGTTCAGCACTTGAATGAGTTTCTTGAGGAAATTATGGTGCTGTTCGATGGCCTGTGCACTGCTGGTGTCCACCTGCATTTGGGTGGCCGTGTAGATGTACCGTAAGGGCTCCTCGCCATACAGCTGGAGCAGGGGTTTGCGCTCCTTTGTCTGGCCCTTACGATTTGTGATTTGTGCGAGACATTCGGCAGCATTGCATTGGAATGCTTTATCATTCAGGAGTATGCAAAGGAAATGCATCAGTTTTCCGTTGCTCGACATGATGTGATTGATGCTGACCCACTCCACAAAGCCGCTCAGCGTCAGCAGCACCGTCTCAACGACTCGGCTGTGGGCATTCGCCTTGTGATAGTTGCCCAAACGGGTTGTTTCCCGGAATGCGGTCACATGCTGTTCGATCAGACGCAGAAAGAACTCAAATATATCATTCATGTTGTTGTTGAGTGCCTGATACATGTCCTTGCGTCGCTGATTCGATTCGATTGTCTGGAGCAGCGCCACGTCCTCAACCAAGCGCAAGAAGACCAACAAAACTAGCTCCGTTTGAGCCTCACCATTGGTGCAAGCCTGCGACAGTTCGGGCAACAGATCTGACCACTGTTGGGGCCATTCACGCTTGATCATCTCGACAATGATGCGCGAGAGAGCGTCCTTTAAATGCAACAGCGTGCGATCCTCGGCTGGGCCAACACCCAAATTTAGCATCTTGATGGCATTATCCTTAATGTACACTTTCTCCTCGTGTGTTATGCAATTCCATTTGAATTTGATTGTGTACTCGATTAGCTGTAGGCCGAAGTGCCGCACCTCCTGATTGAACTGAGCCGAGCTGGCCAAATAGAGTCCCACCTGGGCGCACAGAGGTGACTCCTCCTTGAAACGCTCGCAGGCCATATAAGCTTCGAGCCGTGCCTGGTGTACGGTCATTGGATGCATTATCAGGTCCACGGCTTTCGCCAGCTCTGCGGCTAGAGCCTCCGTAACCCCATGCTGGGCCATCCTCCACGAGTTTGCTTCTTAATTCCCTCGATCTTCACCTAAAATAATATTTTACACACACACACAGACAAATATAAAGAAATATATTAAAAACGTCATATAAATGCTGCAATCTTGTTAATTAATGTGCAATTCTTTAGCTACATACCCTACACTATAAATCATTTTTGTTTATTTACATTGAATGTAATAGCATATGACATATGCTTATTTTTTCAAACGTTCAGCTTTGAAACTCAACCTACATAAATTTAGCATAGCGATGACTCTTCCAGTTAATCCTTATTTAATGTATTTAACATTTGTACATATGATTAACTAATTTAAATTTACTAACGGAGGAAGCATCAATATGTAAAAAAAAAAAAACACACACACACAACTGAAGTTCCGAGTTTTATATGAAATTGATGGTAGAGTATTTAAAGTTCGTCACTCGCCTGTTAACTTCCACCTTTTGTCTTTTTATTATTTTGTTTCTCTTTTTTTTTTTTGTATAATTATCTTTGAGTTCTTTTTACGAGTGTTGGTAAATTGTTGCACTTGTATTGGCGCACGTTTAGCTGCAAAGCTGTTTTTCCTTCACGCTAAGCTTTAAACACTGCTTCGTTGGTATGCGTGCGTACGTGCGTATGTGTATGTGCGTGCGTATTTTCGTCTGTAAGTAACGGAAATGCTGCCATCCTTTGCATTTGCCATTTGCTGGAATGTTTACACTGTTAGTACACACTGTTTATCGTCTTACCCGGTTTGCCGGTATTCAAAGCAAAAATAAATAAATTAATGCCGAATCGTTTTATGCTGCCTGCTGCTGCTCCTCCTTGGCTTGGCCGCCGCCTCTGTTGCGCGCGCGTGTGTGTACTTTCGATTTTTGTGTGTTGCTGCTGTTGCTGTTGTGCGGAATTTTTTCGCCAATGCGGTTAGGGCCCCCAGACGTCGCATGCGATTGCGATTAGTGTTGCTTGCTTGGCTCTCGTTGAGTTCGTATGTCGGCTGCGTTCTTTCCAACTGTTATTTCCTATTAGTTGGTATTTCATTCAAATTCGCATTTATCGCCAAAGCAGAAGTCTCATTTAAAATTTAATGTGTGTTCACATTTGAAATGATTTGAGCTATTTGAAATACTATGTCTTTTTTCGAGGGGCTACGTTTCTGTGCAAGGAACGCAGCATGCTGAGTCGATAGCAAGTCTCGTCAGTCTGGTGCGATACATTTCCAATCGATAAGAACATCGTTGCTTACAGTGTTGCTGATGATATTCGCTAAAGTTGCGTAAATTGATTCGAATAGCTTTAGTTTCTTAGGAGCCTCGCAATCAATCAGTCAATGACGTGACTCCGTGCGAATAGATCAGTGTCTATACTCTGTCTATAATGAAAAAAGCTGTGAAATTTAAAAATGTTTATAGAACAGAGACCTTAGCTTTGATCATAGCGCCTGGCACTAGTTCACATGTCGAGTCTATATAAATATCGTACATTAGCTAACACTGATAACTCTCAGCAGCGTCTGGAACTAAACAAAACAACAACACCAACACGACCGGCATGTGTGCGAAAATGCCAAAGCGAAGCGCGATGCAACATAACTAGGATTTTATAAACTTTTGGAAGTCTATCTACTTTAATATAAAGCAAACAAAATTAGCAGTGAAGTAAATATCATAATATACACACATATATATAAAAATATATATAGAACTATATATATTCCATATTCAATGCTAGGATACAAATAAGAATGGAGTGGTATGAAATAAAGGCAACTAATAATCGGACAGTGAATTTCGCTGAACGTTCCAAACCTGGAAATAAAGAGGTGCCCAGCAAGCAGAACAACGAGCTCGACATTGGCTGTAAGTGGTTTAGAATTACAAAAACTCATGTTTACATTACCATATATGCTATTTATTTACTTTGCGATTTGCAGCTGATTATATTGGAGGCATCATAAATCGCGGCAACTGGGGTTGGATGTCGCGAAGGGATGTGGATACGGCCTCCATTACGATATATCAGCTCAGCAATGGATATCCCATTGCCAGCTACACGTTTCTGAGCGAGCAAAATCTGAAGTGCAGCATAAGCTGTGTGGAAGAACTGACAGTACCTGGCCTTGGCAATCGCGTCCTCTTAGCTGTATGCATTGAAGTCCTGCAAGGGGGAACACAGTTGGCTCTCTTCTCGCCCACCAATAGCCAAGTGCTGCGCTACATAGATTTGAATAACGCAGAGATCAATGTCACTTGCATGGCGTTTCTGGATGAGCATATATGTGCCAAATCGAAATTTCATCAATTCGATGGCTGTTTGGCTATGGGCACAACCGCTGGCAATGTGCATCTAATGGATGTGAATGCCAGCCAAATTGTTGCCAAGATGGGCGTAAATCTTTGCCTGTACGATAATGAGGTGGAACATAGAGATATTCATTGCATTAAGTCTCTAAGTCAACTGGATCAGAATCTCATTCGATGCCGACAGGAGGACATTCACCTGGCATTTGACGTGAAGATTCCCACGCTTACTCCCAGTCCCATATCCAAACTAATGCCAATGAAACTGGTTTACGGCTTCGTTGCGGGCATGCAGGATGGACGCGTCTGCGTCTATGATCTAAGAAGTATGCAGCCGGTCGCCCAGATACGTCGGCCCGACGAGCACTTGCCTTCACCTGTGGTTGGACTCTGTTACATTGTGCCGCCGGATGATCCGCAACCATGCTACTATATTTGCGCCGTTTATGATCAGGGCGATGAATTGATTTCCGCGATGCATTCATTCAACTACAGACGCCCGAGCCCAGTGTCCCTGGATAATGGAGAATTCGCTTTGCGTGACTTTCAAGCCGCAACCACTCGCATTCGTATATCATTGGACACTGAAAGTTGTTCGTTCATCGGGTGCACCACAGCTTCCACGTTTGCCTCTGGAGAGCATGGCACCGTACTGACTGCCATTACCTGGCGCTCGCAAATGGATAATCGCATCAAATTAGTCATATTCGACATCAATCAATGGTACAAGGAGGAGATGCCCACTCACCCAAATCCACAAGAGGATCTGAATTATCTGTGTGGCTTTATCCTCAGTGGTCAGCACGTGGGACTGGCCTTGCAGCTCGATACCGATTCGATTATTCCGTTTATTTCCCTGCAATGTCATGATGCTTACTATTTTCCCAAAGCGCTGTCGTTTGGTAAGTCTAGAAAAGCACGGAAAGCACATGAAATTAGGAACGTCTGAAAGGGCTCTTTGTTAAAAGTTAACTTGCAAATAAAAGCTTCACTTACAGTGAAAGCTCACCAATATTCGTCTGTCTCTCCTTCTCTCTATCAGCCTACTGCTTATTTCAGATATTCTCTTATTGAAGAGATGGCCTTGATCTATACGTTAGTTTGATTGATTGTTCTTGTCGTCATCCTTATCGTTATCAAGAGTCTGATATTTACTGACATTCTGCACTATCCCCCCTATCTCTCCCTCTCTCTCTCTCTCTCTCTCTCTCTCTCTCTCTCGCTTTCTCTTCCTATTTTCCTATCAGTATTCAGCATATTTTAGATATTCTCTTAATCTATCCGATAGTTCGATAGTTTCATTGTTCATCCTCTCGTTCTCTTTCACTCTATGCCCCTCTCTCTCTCTCTCTCTCTCTCTCTCTCTCTCTCTCTCTCTCTCTCTCTCT